CACTTGGGCCATCCTCCACTGCACTCCCTGGCCACAGCAGAGAGCTGGCCTGGAAGAGGGGCAACCAGGACAGAATCCGGTGCCCCAACTGGGACTAGAATCCAGTGTGCCAGCGCCGCAAGGTGGAGGATTAGCCTAGTAAGCCATGGCGCCGGCCTGGCTCAATTATTTTCCCTCAGCATTTTAAAGATGTTGTTCTACCATCTACCATCCATAGCTGTGGTTGACAAATGAGCTATCACACGTATCACTTGCCCCTATTTGTAGTGAGTCATTGTCCTGAGCTGCTTTCCAGGTTTTCTCTTTAGCTTTGGTTCCATCAGTCTGACATCCTCACATTTACACTACCTGGGGAAGCTGAGCGTTCTGCATCTGTCAACTTACATCTTCCATCAAGTTGGAGACATTTTCAGTCTTTATCATTTCTGTATCTTTTACCCCATTCCCTCTTTTTCTATGATTCTTGGACTTGGCTTCCATGTATGTTGTCCCACATACTACAAGGAAACTGTTCACCTTTCTGCACTTCATTTTGATCTACATTTCCAAATTTCTAATTGCTTCTGATGGATATTCAATTTACCGACTCCTTAGCCAGAGACATCTTGAATTTAAGCCTATCCCATGAAGATTTTGATTTGCAGATATTGCATTTTTTTTTTTAATTTGACAGGTAGAGTTATAGACAGTGAGAGAGAGAGAAAGGTCTTCCTTCCATTGGTTCACCCCCCAAACGGCCGCTACGGCTGGCGCTGCACCAGTGTGAAGCCAGGAGCCAGGTGCCTCCTCCTGGTCTTCCATGCAGGTGCAGAGGCCCAAGTGCTTGGGCCATCCTCCACTGCCCTCCCAGGCCACAGCAGAGAGCTGGACTGGAAGAGGAGCAACTGGGACTAGAACCCGGTGCCCATATGGGATGCCAGACTGCAGGAGGAGGATTAACCAAGTGAGCCACAGTGCCAGCTCCATGAACTTTTTTTAAATTTTTATTTATTTGACAGGTAGAGTTATAGACAGTGAGAGGGAGAGATAGAAAGGTCTTCCATCCACTGGTTCAATCCCCAAATGGCTGCCACAGCTGGTGCTGCGCCGATGCATATTCAGGAGCCAGGTGCTTCCTCCTGGTCACCCATGCGGGTGCAGGGACCCAAGCACATGGGATGCTGGAGTTGCAGGCGGAGGACTAACCAAGTGAGCCACGGTGCTGGCCATTATTGTGCTTTTTAAATTTAAAGTTTCTATTTGAATATTTTTATAATTTCTATTCCCCTGCTAAAGTCTGTCTATATTTTCATTCAATATAAGCATAGTTTCTTTTCTGCTATTTTTTTTTTTAAACAGGCAGATGGGACAGGGAGACAGACAGAAAGGTCTTCCTTTGCTGTTGGTTCACCCTCCAGTGGCCGCTGTGGCCGGCGCACCGCGCTGGAGCCAGGAACTTACCCTGGTCTACCATGGGGTGCAGGGCCCAAGCACTTGGGCCAACCTCCACTGCACTCCCTGGCCACAGCAGAGAGCTGGCCTGGAAGAGGGGCAACCGGGACAGAATCCGGTGCACCGACCCGGGGTCCCTGTGTTCTCAATCATGCCCATCCTACAGATGAGGAACACTGAGGCCTGGGCGGGGAGGCGGTTTGCAGAAGCTCACACAGCCTGTAGACCCGAAATCCAACCCCCACCCCTGCAGTCCCACGGTGCAGCTCTCAGAGCAGGTGACTGGTTTTCCTGTCTCGGGGGGACCCCTCGGGGCCCACCTCAACCGCCTGTCAGGCGAGAATCCCCCCTAAACGGAGCCCACCCGGCCTTCCCCAGCCCCACTTGCACGAGATCCCCGGCAGGCAGGGACCATTGAGCGATGCTTACCTGTGGTCCTGGAGAAAGTGAGAGCAAGTGAGGAGAGGTCAGCAGACCCTGCAGAGAGAGGCTGGACTCAGGGGAGGATATGGGGCGGCCCCAGGACCAGAGCATCCCACGCCCCGCCCCTCGGTTCCAAGCCCCGCCCCTCGGGCGCAAGCCCCACCCCTGGCCGCTGTCCTCCCTGACTCGCGGGCCGGCTGCTCCTCAGCTCCTGTCACGGCACCCCAGCCTTCCTGGTGCTCAGGCCCCCTCCTCCCAGCTAAGGTCGAGCCTGGAAGCCCCCTACCCCCAGCCCCTTTCTTTTTCTTTTTTTTTTTTGACTGGCAGAGTGGACAGTGAGAGAGAGAGAGAGAGAGAAAGGTCTTCCTTTGCCTTTGGTTCACCCTCCAATGGCCGCCGCGGCCGCCGCACCGCGCTGATCCGATGGCAGGAGCCAGGTGCTTCTCCTGGTCTCCCATGGGGTGCAGGGCCCAAGCACTTGGGCCATCCTCCACTGCACTCCCTGGCCACAGCAGAGAGCTGGCCTGGAAGAGGGGCAACTGGGACAGAATCCGGCACCCTGACCGGGATAGAACCCGGTGTGCCGGCGCCGCTAGGCGGAGGATTAGCCTAGTGAGCCGCGGCGCCGGCCCCCGCCCCTTTCTACTCCCAGGGGCACACCCGGCCTGGCTGCAAGGTCAGGGAGGCGGGCCTCATTGCGGGGCGTTTCCGGCTGGAGGCCCCGCCCCCTCGGCCCTCCGACTGCTCCGCGCTTCCTTCTTTGCGCTGGGCCCCGCCCCCGTCCCGTCCTCGAGCGTAGGCCCCGCCCCCGCGGGCCAGGCACCACCTTGGGCTTGCAGAGCGGAGCCCCGCCCCCTTCTCTGCTTCAGGGTCAGGCCCCGCCCCCACCCGCGGGGCGTTCTAGGCCACAGGCCCCGCCTTCACCGCGCGCGTTCCTGAGGGCATGCCCCGCCCCCTCGGCCCTCCCATTGCGCTGTGCTTCCTTCTTTAAGCTGGGCCCAGACCCTGTCCCATCCTCGCGCGCAGGCCCCGCCCCCGCGGGCCAGGCCCCTCCCCCTCGCCTCTCGGAGCCCCGCCCCTTGTCCGCCTCAGGGTCAGGCCCCACCCACTTCTCACTCCTCGAGGGGAAGCCTCGCCCGCACCTAGGGCCATACCCTTCTCCTACTCTGTGGCTTTCTCCCCCAAGCGCAGCGTCTCCGCACCGCCCCCAGCGTTCTGCGGGAGCCCCCCCCAGCCCTCTCCCAACCCGGGCTCCGCTTACCCAGGGCCGCCAGCTCTGGCGCAGCGGGCTGTCTGGCGACACGGCGACTCGGCATGGCCTGGCCAGCAGGGACGCGCAGCTCGGAGGCTGGCCCAGACCCAAGCGCGCATGCGAGCTGTCCCGCGGAGGATCGCGGCCCGGACAAGCGTCGCAGGGTCTGGGGCCGCAGGCGGGGCAGGATGCGCGGTGCCCGGGGCTACTGGGGGTCATCAAGGTGACATCATCAAGGCAGGGGAACGGGAAACCCCCGCGCGACACGTGACCCAGGGGCGGGCTGGTCGGGAAGGGGAGGCGGGGCGCTGCAGAGGGGCCGAGGGGGCTTCGCCCGCCGCCCATTGCCGGCAGAGACCACTGAGGCCACGAGCCTGGCGCTTCTCCGGCCCGGGGCTTCACAGCCGCTGTCCATGGTGGTACAAGCGTAGGCTGGGCATGGGCTCTGGGACTTGCGTCCGCCCCTGGTGGTCTCCAGTGCCAGGACCACAGCTGTGCATGGCCATGGGTGGGCCCCAGGGAGCACAGGGACATCAGTGACATCTGGGAACCGTGCGCCCAGCCTCTGAGCACAGGGGCTCCCGGGGGGCCCGCACATAGGGCAAGCGCCCGCATCCCGCGTGGGGCATTTGGGTGTTCCAGCTCTTCACTGCGTTGTCCTAGCAGACAGAGTGACCCAGCCTAGGCTGACCGAGCCCCGTGTGAGCCGTCGCCTGCCCTGGACCCTGGGCACAGCACTCCCCAGGCCGGCCCGGCAGTGGCGAGGAAGCCAGCAGGAAGGAGGCGGCCGCACTGGCCCCCTCCCCTGGCCTGTGGGCTCCCTGCCAGGCTCCACGGGGAGCCTGGGGGGCCTCAGCACAAAAGCCTCCTTCCTTGGCTGCAGGGCCCCGCCCTCGGAGTGCAGGCCAGGGCGCTCACCCTTGAAGGGGGGGCCTGGCCAGGCACTTGTGCCCCAGGGGTCGGGTCCCAGCCCAGGGGTGCCCACAGTTCACACGTGCGGCAGACCTGGCTGCCCACCACGCTCCCAGCCCTGCTGGAGTGCGGGACTGGACCTTGCGGTGGGCGTGTGCTGCTCTGAACTGGGCCCCGGCTGTGCCCGAGCAAGAAGCTCAAGGCAAGCAGTTCGGGGGCTTCTGGGAACTGGGGACTGGGACGAAAGGGCCCTCGAGGGCTGGAGGCGGCAGAAGTAGTGAAGGGCCTGGCTTGGCACAGGGGCCCCGCCCCCTGCAAGGGCTCCCGTCCAGTGTGCAGCCCAGGAGGGGAGAGGCTGAAATTAAATTAAACACCATATGAATTTATTAAATCCACACTGTTAAAGGGCGGAGGTGTGGGGTTAGGGGTGCTCGGGGACGAGGGACAAGATGATGGACGGCTGAGGGCACCTGGAGGGGCCCCAGCACTGCCCCCACCCAGCCCACCCCGGCACCGCCCTGTTGGCTTCCCCATGGTTGTGGCAGGGCAAGATGGCTGCGAACATAGAGGACCGACAGCCCCCACTGCTGGCGCACCCTGGGCCCTGACCCCATCTGTCCAGGGAGGTGGCGGGGGGGGGGGGCGGAGGCCAGGGAGGCGGGTGCTGTCACCAGGAGCCTGGGAAGGCAGGGACCATGGCACCTAATCCTTCTTGTCCTCAGCTGCCTTCGCAGGGGCTTCCTGGGGCTCCTTGCCGGAGGGGGCGGGGGCGGGGGTGGCTGTGTCATCCTGCCCACTTATGCCCAGCTCCTTCACCCTGGTGGGATCGACGTGCTAGATCCACTGCTGGTAGAGGTAGATGAAGCAGACCATGTCTGCGGGGAGACGGGGGAGGTGGCGTGAGTGCAGGCAGAAAGCCAGGAGCCCCCGCCATCCACTGGTCCTCACCGTCCCTCAGGCAGCCGATCCAGCACATGACGGGCGGGCATCTTGATGATGAAGGCAAACAGGTCCTCAATGAAGGTGTTGAGGGCCTTGTGGGTGAGCATGCACCAGGGCAGGTGGGTCATGGACCTGAGCTTGTAGTTGATGAAGAGCTGGGGCGTCATGGTGATGAAGCCTGTGGAGAAGACACCTGTGAGCAGGGGGTGGGGCCGTCTCACCCAGCCCCTCCCACGCCCTCCACCACACTCACACCCGCCTCTTTGCCACTGCCAACACCAGGGCCCGCTGACCTACCTCAGGGCCTGTGCACTCACTGCCCATCAACAGACCTGGGCCTGGCTCCCTCCCTGGCATCTTGGGCTCAGCCTCTCCTCTGAGAGGCTCCCAGCTGCCCCTGCTGTGCAGCCCTCACTCCACCCCACCCCACCCCACCCCACCCCTGCCATGGCACTCCCCTGTCTGCTTGCTGCTGCTCTGGTTTCCCACAAGACAAAATGTTGCCAAGGACGAGGACAGAAACGGACCGTCTCGTCCTCCTGCTCGGGGCCAGCACTGCCTCCCACACTGGACGTGAGTAGACCTTGAGCCCACTCAGGGCTGGCCCTGTCTTCCACACTGGACGGTGAGGGACTGTGAGCCCGCTCAGGGCTGGCCCTGTCTTCTACACTGGACTGTGAGTGGATCATGAGCCCCCTCAGGGCTGGCCCTGTCTCCCACACTGGATGAGCCCACCTGCCCCACCCGGCCCTCACCAAAGGTCACAGCCAGGTCTGTGCTGTGCCGCGCCGATACCGCCTCCTCCGGCTCCTCGACCCCACATGGGGCTGGCAGGCACCCTCAGGCACCAGCAAGGCCTGGGTTCTGCTTCCCGACCTGGGGTCCCTCCAGCGCCCCACCTGAATGCCGCCTGGGGGAGCCCCCAGCCACACCCTGGAAGCCCTGGTCTCCCACGGGCACTGCTCCGGCGGTCAGCAGGGCCAGCTCTGCACTCAGTGTGCGAGGGCTCACCAGGCCGCAGGGGTGCCTGTCCACCCACTCCCTGGGCCCCGTGGAGGCAGCGGCTTGGAGACAGGCTCCGGTGAGGGTGGTGGACCCAAGGGGCCACAGGACCTTTCAGTGGCTACGCCTCCTCGTGCCCCACTTCTCATCTGGACAGAGCCCCACCCCCAGCTCTGGGGTCAGAGTTTAGTGAGCTGGTCCTGCCCAGGACGGCTAGAGACACCGGTCCCTGCCCAGCTCTGGCACTGCAGCACCTGGACGGGCACACCATCAGCAGCTTGATGCTGACTCTACTGATTCGGGGCCCCTGGGGCCTGGAGGATCACAGTCGGGGCAGACGGGCGGCCACTTGGCAGCTGGGTGGCTGGACAAGTGACCTTCCCTCCTGAGCCTCTGCCCCGGCCTCCACCTGGTAGGGGTGCGCAGGCCAGTGCCTGGCCACCAGCACAGTGGCCATACAACCAGGCACTGCTGGCACAGGGGCCTCCTGGTGAGGCAGTGGGCTGGGCCCGCCAAGGGGAGCAGCACAGGGGCTTCCCTGCTCCTGGCCTCACAGTTCCCGGGCCTGCTTCCTGGAGGCGCACCCTGGCCCCTGCCCCGGCAGCAGGCCCAGCCCCTCCCTCCACTGCTCTCCTGGTTGGTGGGAGATTCTGGGCTGGGAGTTTGGGCGCCCTTCCCCTTCCAGGCTCACAAGGCCCCTTGGAGAGTGGGGCCCAGAACCCAGGCAGGGGGAGGATGGGGGAGGGAGGACGAGGGGGCAGACCCCCCACTGTGGTCTCCCACAGGCCCCAGGGCCTCACCCTGCTGTTCTTGAATGCCAGGAACTCAAAGACACTGTGGATGATGGAGACGATGATGGTGAGCGCCAGCAGGTAGGCGTTGGTTTCCAGGAGGGCCACCTGTGGGGGGGTACTCATGAGTGCAGTCCCGCCCCCAGCCAGAAGACTTCTCTCATGCCCCAAGACCCCCTGTAGGACCTGCTGACCACCCTCCAGGGCTGGGAGCTAGAGACACACAGATGGGGAGATGGCAAGGGGCAGGAGGCCACGACTAGGGGAGACAGGCTGGTGGGGAGGGGGGCAGCTGCCGTGAGGAACGGGGACCCACAGCAACCACAGCTGTGGGCAGCACGGACGTCACAGGCACCGGGAGGAGGGATTTCTGAGAGAGCAGAGTCAGGGGTCAGAGCCCGAAGTCGGGGGCACAGGGCTGGGCCAGGCCAGCTGCAGAGGTCTTGGCCATGCAAGCAGAAAAGCTCTGAAGAGGCCATCAGAACCCAGGGACAGGACCCAGCTGGGGGGGAGCCCGGAGGTTGGGAGCCTGGGCAGGGTGCGCAGGGTGGCGGGTCCCATGCTCGCCGCCCAGCTCCGTCCACAGCGCCCACCTTCACCGAGTCCTGCTGCTCCTCTCAGGGCTCCTAGAGCTCATCACTCAGGAAGTTCCAGGGTGACCTGGTGCTCTGGGCAGCATAGAGCAGACAGAATGACGCCCGCTCCTGCATCACACACAAAAAGCCAGGGACCTTGGCCAGTGCACAGGGAACGTTTGGGACAATCTCAACACATAAAAGGTGGCCAACAAGTCAGGAGCTTCATCCAGGTCTCCCACATGGGTGGCACGGGCCCCAACACTGGGGCCATCTTCTGCTGCTTTTTCCCAGGCACATTAGCAGGGAGCTGGATTGAAAATGGAGCAGCCGGGACATGGACCCGTGCCCATAGGGTGGCTTTACTTGCTATGTCACAATGCCAGCCCCAAACAACAATTACTAACCACCCAGAAAGTATGGAGTTGGGCAAAAAAGAATACTTCATAAGGGCTTGCATTGTGGTGTAGCCGGTTCGGTTGCCATGGGTAATGCCAATATCCCTTATCAGAGCACCAGTTCTAATCCCGGCTGCTCCACTTCTATTCCTGCTCCCTGTTAATGTGCCTGGGAAAGCAGCGGAAGATGTCCCCAAATTCTGGGCCCTGGCACCCATGTGGGAGACCCAAATGGAGTTCCAGGATCCTAGTTTTGGTCTAGCCCAGCCCCAGCCACTGTGGCCACATGGTGAGTGAACCAGAGGATGGAAGATTCTCTCTCTCTCACTCTTTCAAATAAACAAAACAGATCTATAAACAATTAGAAACAACAACTTGTGTTTACTGTGTATCTTAGATGTGAATGGTAGGCACACTCCAAAGCATTCAAATGCTGAGTGCTATTCTAATAAAAATTGCATTCCTGTATGGAGAACTATCCTTCCACAGCAGAAAGTCAGTGAGAACGTTTGAAACTGAAAAACTAAGAAATCACAGCTCCGACTTGTGGAGGGGAGTGTGGACAGGACGCAGTGGGAGAAACAGCTAAATGCAGCTGAGGACAGCCGCCAAGGGGAGTGTGAAGGGGTGGGGTGGACGGGAGACAGGGCTCCGCTGTCTGACACAGCAGCTTCACGTGAAACCACATACGCACGAGAGACCGTAAGAATACATGATGGGGCCAGTGCTGTGGCACAGAGGGTCAAGCCACCACCCGTGATACTGGTATCCCATGTGGGCGCTGGTTCAAGTCCCTGCGGAGCTGCTCGGCCTCTCACCACGGGGCCTGGTGTCCCCTCACGGCCCCACCTTCCATCTCCACCCTGACCCCGGCCTGAAGCTTGCAAGCAGATGAGGCCCTGGCACCCAGGAGCAGCTCTCATGGCCAGGGTGACAGCCCTGGGCCCTGGGGGCTTGGCTTGAGGCTTCGAGAGAGGCCGTGTGCACCCCTGCTTCAGCCCGCAGAGCCCGAGCAAGAACCCCTCCCATCCCAGGAGGCCTGCTGGACAGAGAGGAGGGCACAGCACAGGTGCAACACTTACTGATCCTGCACCCAGTCCCCTACTGGGCAGTGCTGGGGATACAGAAGTGACCAAGACAGTCCCAGCCTTACCCTCACAGGACTCAGCCCCATGGGGGGAAAGACCTGACCCACACAGTAAGGACCGAGAAGGGGCAGGGCTGGGATGGGGAAGCCCAGCAGGGTCTGAGAACCAAAAGAGGGCTTCCTGGAGGAGGCAGCATTTGTACCTGGGGCTGCCAGAGGCCAGAGTCAGAGCCTGAGCTGTGTTACCTGAGGCAGTCGCTCTACCTCTCTGCACCTCACCTTCCTGGTCTGTCAGATGGGGTTGCCGGGAGGTTTCCATGAGTCCTCCTAGCCAGCGTCGTGCACTTAGTAGGTACTCAATGCACATTAGCTAAAATTATTTTGAAACTGGGCTGCCGGACAAACTGGTGACACCCAGATAAACCCGAAGCCAATTACTAATCCCTCGCTGGTTGAAAGCCCAGGACTGCACACCTCGGGGCAGCTGGAAGAATCCCGGGGCAGGCCTCATCCCCACGGCCTTCCTTCTGACGGGGAGGGCAAAGCACAGAGACCCCGGGACACAGCGCAGCAGCAGGGCTGTGGACAGGGCCGCGAGAGCACCGGGAGCAGGCCCTGTGGTGTGCGCCCAGCCCCGGGCTGCCCTACCTGCAGGATGTCCAGCTCTGATAAATGCTCGCAGCAGCCGTCTGAGTTCTCGCCGCTCGTCCAGTCGCTGTACACGAGGTCGTGCTGCTCCTAGAAGAGAGCCGAGGTGGCGTTGAAGTCTGTAAAGTGCTCGTGCTCTGAGATGTACACGTGCAGGTTCTGGGGGTGGGAGCGGGGGGCAGAGCTCAGGGCCGTTCTTCAGAGCCTCAGCACATGCACGGATAAAGAGCGGAGGAAGAGCCGGGCAGCGTCGGCCCCTCGTGAACCAGCATGTGTGGGGACAGCGAGTTGTGGAGAAGAGAGTAACTTCTCCTCCCCACACCTGTGTCTGCCCTGGCTGAGCCTGGCAGCCAGAGGTGCGCAGCAGCTGAAGACCCAGCAGCCTGCCCTCCGAGCTGAGTGTGGACAGCAGCAGGAGCCCTGGAATGCTGGCCCCCTTCTGGGCTGCACGCCTCAGGGCAAAGCAGGCACCAGCTGCCCATTCAGGACACAGGGAGTGGGAGCCCAGCCCCTCCTGCCCCCACGGCCCACGGAGCAGGGAAGCGGGGCAGTGGTCACCCTGCTGACAGAACCCAAAGCCGCACATCTGGCAGAAGCCCACCCTGGGGCCAGCGCTGGTCAGGGAAGCTCCGGCTCTGCCCGTGCCCACCACGTCTCCCCAGCTCCCTTCCCACAGCCCTGAGAGCAAGTGCTAAAGGCCTTCGCTGTCAACTTCCCAAAAGCATCAGCTCCACCCAATGGATGCTGCCTGATGACCCCATGCCCCAACTGTTCAGAGCCCATGGTGACCAGGAACCCCTCCATCCCGTCCACCTGCCCCACACTCCGCCCACCTGTCACCTTCCGCCCCTGCATCCAGCAGTTACCATTAAAGTGTCTTTGGGGAACAGGTTGTGGCTGGCGACGCACGGGGCTCCTCCAGGGCCCTGCCTGGTCCTGAGGGGCCGGCCCTGGGCAGAACCAGCTGCTGATGGCCCAGATGATGAAGATCCTAGGAGGGAAGCAGCTGCAGGCAGTGAGTCCAGGCCTTCTCCTTCCTCCTGCCCCACCACTGCGGAGGGAAGCGCACAGGTGCGGAGCTGACAAGAGGCCCCGAATCCCGCAGGGAGAGACTGGGGTGGGGCGCCTGGCACCACCCTGGTCTCCAGGCAGAGCCCCCAGCCGAGTCCTGCTGGTGACAACCAGGCCATAATGGCTTCGGCCACCAAACCCTCTGACATGGGCAACTGAAGGTGTCAGTGCCCTGGGGTCCCCGGTGAGAGGCTCCCGAGAATCTGGAATCCTAGCAGTCAGCGGCACAGAACCTCGGGAGACACCACCAGGGAGCTTCCGATCGCCTGGAAACCAGACAAGCAGAGAGTACTAATGGGCTAGCCTCAGGGTCAATGGCCTGGGTTATTCAAACCAACTCTCCCTTTGGAAGGAACTGGAAAAGTCTGATAATACTTATTAACATATTAAGAATACAGTGGGGTTGGCATTGTAGCACAGTGGGTTAAGCTGCCACCTGCGAAACGAGCATCCCCATGGACCACCAGTTAGAGTTCTGACTGCTCTGTTTTCCACACTGTTCCCTGCTAATGCACCTGGGAAGGCAGCAGAAGATAGCCCAAGTGCTTGGACACCTGCTACCCATATGGGAGACCCGGATGCAATTCCAGGCTCCTGGCTTCAGCCTGGCCATTTGGGAAGTGAACCAGTGATGGAAGATGTCTGTCTTTCCTTCTCCTTCTGTAAAATGTTACAAAAGAGAGGAAGGGAGGAAGGGAGGGAGGGAGGGAAGGGGGCAAGGAGGGAAGGAGGGAAGGAGGGAAGGAGGGAGGGAGGGAGGAAAAGAACGCTGGGGCAGTGTCTGGCCAAGGGTTAAGTTGCCACTTGGATTCCCACAGCAGAGTGCCTGCCCCAAGTCCTGCTGTTCTACTTCCCATCCAGCCCTCTGCTCTGTGCACTGTGGGAGGCAGCAGACGACAGCTCAGGTACTTGGGCCCCTGCCACCCACGTGGGAGATCCAGACTGAGTTCTAGGCTCTTGGCTTTGGCCTAGCCCAGCCCTGGCTGTTGTGGGCATCTGGGGAGTGAGCCAGCAGATGGGAGGGCTCTTTCCATCTGTCTTTCTGTGCGCTTCAAACAAAAATGAAAATAAGTCAGGGGCCAGCACCGTGGCACAGTAGGTTAATCCTCCGCCTGCGGCGCTGGCATCCCATATGGGCACCAGTTCTAGTCCCGGCTGCTCCTCTTCCAATCCAGCTCTGCTGTGGCCTGGAAAAGCAGTGGAAGGTGGCCCAAGTACTTGGGCCTCTGCACCCACAAGGGAGACCGCGAAGAAGCTCCTGGCTCCTGGCTTTGGATTGGCGCAGCTCTGGCCATTGCAGCTATCTGGAGGGTGAACCATGCAACAGAAGACCTTTCTCTCTGTCTCTCCCTCTCACTGTCTGTAACTCTACCTCTCAAATAAATAAATAAAATCTTTAAAAAATCAATAAAAGTTTGAATATATATATGTATATATTATGAAGAAGACTAAGAAGACACAGGGTAGGTGCTAACACAGTGATTAAGACCCTGCTTAGGATGCCCACATTCCACATCAGAGTGCCTTAACTCAAGTCCCTGCTCTGTCCCTCACCCCAGCAGTTGGGTCCCTGCTACTCATGTGGGAGACCAGATTGAGTTCCCAGTTCCTGGCTTCAGCCTGGCCCAGCCTCAGCTACTGGAAAACACTGGATGGGAGATTTCTGCCTATATTAAGAAACAGAGGCTGGCCTGTGGCATAGCGGGTAAAGCCGCCGCCTGCAGTGCCTACATCCCATGTAGGTGCCAGTTCAAGACCTGGCTGCTCCACTTCCCATCCAGCTCTCTGCTATGGCCTGGGAAAGCAGTAGAAGATGGCCCAAGTCCTTGGGACCCTGCACCCACATGGGAGACCTGGAAGAAGCTCCTAGCTCCTGGCTTCAGATAGGCTGAGCTCTGCCCCTTGCAGCCAATTGGGGAGTGAACCAGCTGATGGGAGATAGCTCTCTGTGCCTCTGCCTCTTTATAACTCCGTCTTTCCAATAAATAAATACATCTTTAAAAAAAGGAAAGTTATACTATGAATATATCAATAAATCTCATATTTATGATTATTATATGATACAGTAAGACTGTTCTCATAGATGTTCTTGTAGATAATTATTTTTAAAGATTTATTTATTTGATAGCCAGGGTTACGGAGAGAGGCAGAGAGAGTGAGAGTGAGAGTGAGAGAGAGAGAGAGAGAGAGAGCAATTGATCTTCCATCTGCTGGTTCACTCCCCAAATGGCTCCAACTACTGGGGCTGGGCCAGGATGAAGCCAGGAACCTCAAAACCCATCCGGGTCTCCCAGGTCGTGGCAGGGACTCCAGCACTTGGGCCAACTTCGGCTGCTTTCCCGGGCGTATCGGCAGGGAGCTGGATGGAAAGCAGAGTAGCCGGGACCTGAATTGACATCCACACGGGACGCCAGCATCACTGGCCGCGGCTTGACCTGTTGCGCTGCCTCCTCTGGCAAATAATTCTGATACAATGTACATGTATGTGAGCAAAAGCAGTGACAGTGCTCAGGAATGCAGATTATCAGGCCAACACTGAAGGGGAGATGGGGAGAACTGAGGAGGAAAAGGAGCGCTGTGAGGCGCACCTGCCTCATGCCCACGGGAGGGCACTAGGGACCCACACTTTGGACGCTGGTAACTCCAGGGCTCCACGCCCAGGGGAGGTGGGACACCAGGCCACCCTGAACCCTGCACCGAGGAGCCGCACAGCAGGCCTGCATGAGGAGTCACATAGTCAGCTCCTGCCTACACCCTGGAGGAAGGAGACCCTGGGGGCGGGTAATGCCCTCAAGCAGCCAGCAGAGGCAGAGCGAGTCTGTGCATTCCAGGTTTCAGTAACTTCCCCCGCCTAAGAACCAACATGCAGGCAGGTGCAGGCCAGGCACACAAGGAAACAAGATGCCATGGACGAGACGCCGCAGCTACCACGGTCCAGAGGCAGAACGAGACATGGACGCAGAAGTTTCAGACAGAGTCCTCCAAAGTGCTCAAGGTCTGCGTCTGGCGAGCGTCAGAAGGACCCACTCTCCAGATAACATGACAGAAAGAGGGGACACAGAAACAATGGACAGCATCCAAACCACAGCAGTGACAGAACCACCTCCTCAGCTCACGAAATCCCACCACCAGCAGCCCAAAGCCTCCGACGGCAGCTGGCGCAGGGGCATGGCTGGGGCGCTCTGCGAAGGGAGACGTGGGGTGGGAGCCCGCCTCTGCGTGGAGTGTGAGCCTGCCTCTGGGTGGAGGGAGGCATGAGTGTGGATGCAGAGGGAGGCGCGGGTGTGGACGTGGAGGAAGGCATGGGGTGTGGACATGGAGGAATGCATGGGGTGTGGACGTGGAGGAGGTGGGGGGTGTGGACGTGGAGGAAGGTGGGGGGTGTGGAATGCGGATGGGTGGGTGTGTGACATGGAGGAAGGTGGGGGGTGTGGACATGGAGGGAGGTGGGGGTGTGGACATGGAGGGAGGTGCAGGGTGTGGACGTGGAGGGAGGTGCATGGGTGTGGACGTGGAGGGAGGTGGGGGGTGTGGACGTGGAGGGAGGCTGTACTGAACACCACCGATATGTCCTCTGGCAGGAACACACAGGGGCGGCAGCTGAGCCAGGCCACCCAGGCCCGCTGAGCCCCGGCTCGCTTGGCCGCCCCCAGGGTCAATACCTAAGAATAAAGCTGAGCACACGGCAGCTAGCACCTACTATGTGCTGGTCATTATGTGGCTTTCGATAAAAAGGATTTGTTTATTTGAAAAGCAGACTGATAGAGAGGGAGGAAGAGAGATCTTCCATCTGCTGGTTCACTCCCCAGCTGGCCCCAATGGCCAGGGCTGATCCAGGCCAAAGCCAGGAGCCAGGAGCTCCATCCGGGTCTTCCACATGGAGAGTATTTGGGTCATCATCTGCTGCCTTCCCAGGAGCATTAGCAGGGAGCTGGATGGGAAGTGGAGCAGCCGGGACTGGAACGGGCACCTGGACAGGGGATGCGGGCACTGCGAGTGGCAGCTTAACCTGCTTTGCCTCGTCACCGGCCCCCCTAGTGGTTGACATAGTTTCACAGAGCATCTCAGCTAAGCTCCGTCGCACTCTAAGAGGTAGGTCGTAGTCAGTGTCAACATCAGGGGTCCCTGAGACCACGCTGGGATTCAGAGTACCCAGAGGACTGCCAGGACTCAGCACAGTCACGTGTGCGGCTGTGGCTTGTACCCCGGGCAGGGCACGGGAAGAGCAGAGTCAGGGGCGGGCGCCTGTACCCCGGGCAGGGCACAGAAAGAGCAGAGTCAGGGGCAGGTGCCTGTACCCCGGGCAGGGCATGGGAAGAGCAGAGTCAGGGGTGGGCACCTGGCCCCGTGGTTGAGATGCCTCTTAGGACAGCTGCATCCATCCCGTCCCTTAGCAGAGCACTTGGCTCGAGTCCCGGCTCCACTTCCAAATCCAGCTTCCCACCACTGTGCCTCCTGGGAATCAGCAGGCGAGGCCTCAAGCCCTTGGGCCCCTGCCGCCCACATGGGTGACCCAGACTGGGTTCCAGGCTCCTGGCTTTGGCCTGGGCAGCCCTGGCTGTTGGGGTATTTCGGATGTGAACCAGCAGATGGAAGAGCTCTGTTTTGTCTCTTTTAAATAAATTTAAAAAATTTTAAATAGAATTAAAGACAAATTTGGCTGGGTGTCTGGCCTAGCAGTTAAGACACTGGGATGCCTGCACCTCCTAGTAAAGTTCCAGCTTCCTCCTCCTGTGCACCCTGGAAGTCAGCAGATGATGGCTCCCGGCCCCACACTGGACACTCGGTGGAGATCTCTGCTCCTGCCCAGGCTGCTGCAGGCCTTTGTGGAATGGACTGGCAGAGGGGAGCTCTCTGTCTTTCTGCCTTTCAAATTCATGCAGCTTAAGCTGCCTCTGTGCCACTGCATCCCCTATGGGAATGCTGGGTTGAGTCCCAGCTGCTCCACATCTGATCCAGCTCCCTGCTGATACACCCGGGAAGGCAGTGGAAGATGGCCCAAGTCCTTGGGCCCCTACCACCCACGTGGAAGACCAGGATGAAGTTCCTGGCGCCTGGCCCAGATGTGGCTGTTGTAACCATTTGGGGGATGAACCAGCAGACAAAAGATCTCACTCTTCCCCTCTCTCTGTCACTCTGCCCTTCAGATTTGAAAGGCAGAGTGACAGAGAGGCAGAGAGAGAGAGAGGTCTTCCATCCACTGGTTCACTCCCCAAATGGCCACAATGGCTGGAGCTGAGCCAAGTCGAAGGCAGGAGCCAGGAGCTTCTTCTGGGTCTCCCACAGGGGTACAGGGGCCCAAGAACTTGGGCCAACTTCCACTGCTTTCCCAGGCCATAGCAGAGAGCTGGGTCGGAAGTGGAGCAGTTGGGACTAGAACTGGCACCCATATGGGATGCTGGCACTGCAGGTGGTGGCTCTAACCCACCATGCCACAGAGCCAGCTTTTTTTTTAAGTAACTTAAAAAAAATTAAAAAACCTCTGCTTGGGTCCAGCGCCATGGCTCACTTGGTTAATCCTCCGCCTGTGGTGCAGCACCCCATAAGGGCACTGGGTTCTAGTCCCAGTTGGGGCACCGGGTTCTAGTCCCGGTTGCTCCTCTTCTAGTCTAGCTCTCTGCTGTGGCCCGGGGAGGCAGTGGAGGACGGCCCAAGTGCTTGGGCCCTGCACTGGCATGGGAGACCGGAAGGAAGCACCTGGCTCCTGGCTTTGGATTGGCACAGCACACCGGCCATAGCGGCCAGGTTGTGGGTGAACCAACGGAAGGAAGTCCTTTCTCTCTGTCTCTCTAACTCTATCTGTCAAAAAAACAAAACAAACAAACAAAAAAGCCTTTGCTGCTAAAGTCCCTCACACAGATGGTGCAGGGTTGGCACAAGCCCACCCATACACTTCACACCACCTCTGAGCGACCCTAAGCACCTAATGCTACGGACCTGCTGGGTGAAGTCGGTCCACGGTTTTGTTTAGGGAACACTGGCACGGAAAAAAGTGCACCTGCTCAGTAAGATGTCATTTTTTTCCCCAAAAACATTTTCAATCCGCAGATACGGAGAAAGGGCATACTGAACAGTGAGAGCAGGCTCCCCACGCCCTCTGCCCACCCAGCTTGGGGAGACTTCTGTCTGAGCCCTTGGGAGGGAGTGGAGCCAGAGAGGCCAGGGGAGCTGTCCCACGCCCTCCGGGTGCTCCCTCCCCAGCCCTCATCACCGGAAGCTATTTGTGTGGTTCTACCACCTGCCCAGGCATCTGGCACCAACGGCCCCCACCCTGCGGGCCCACGCACGGCCCTCCCCATGCATCCACCAGCGTGTGACTCTGCAAGCCCCGCACCGACCTGCTGACCACAGGCCCCCAGGTCTTTAGTTGTGGGACAGAGCCTCCTCCCCCGCGCCGCTGGCCACTGGCCCTCACCTTTCTGCACCTGGTCACACAGCAGGTAGAGCTGCTCGCCGCCCGTGCACTGCCCGCTCTCCTTGTTGATCCAGCAGATCCGCAGCTCCGATGTTTGTGGACTCTGGCAGGGGGCGAGGGGCAGAGAATCCCACCTTGAAATCCTTCCCAGGCTCCCAGCTGGTGCCTGCCCAGGGCTGGGAGAGGCGGGATGGGGAGCAGGCAAGGCAGCCCACCTGTGCTAGGAAGGCAGCGGAAGCTGGCCCAAGTGCCTGGGCCCCTGCACCCACGCCGGAGACCCGGATGGAGTTCTGGGCTCCTGGCATTGGCCTGGCCCAGGCCTGGCTGTTGTGGCCATTGAGGAAGTGAACCAGCAGGTGTGTGTGTGTATGTGTGTCTCTCCCTCTCTTAACTCTGCATCTCAAATAAATATAAATAGAGACCCCCAGATCTCAGGGAGAGTAGGTGCGGTCAGGGATCGGGGTCAGGGTTCACGGACCTTGTACGGCCTCCCTCGGTGTAAAAGTCCAGACCTGCAGGAGGTCACGAGGGTTGGGTAGGCCTGACGCCAGGCCCTGGCTCAGCAGTGATCATGTGCCCGGGCCTGGCCAATTAGAGCACTGCCTCCCTGTACCCGTAGCTGACTGGCCAGAGAGGAGCAGCTGACCCCAAGCAGGCCAATGAGAGGCAGCCCTGAGATTCTGGGCCAGAACACGGGAGGAGAGGCCAGAAAAGGCGCTGGGTGGGGAGGGTTGCTGGCAGGCCTGGGCCGGTGCCGCCCACCTAGGAGAAACCCGAGGGTCCTACCAGAAGTGACCACGCGAGGGAAGAGCTGCTGAGACATTGGCGTCACCTGCAGCTGGAGCGCGGTGCCCCATCGTGGCTTCTTTGGTTCATGGGACAGAGCTCTGTGCCCACCAAAGCACAACTGTGCCCCCCGAAGCCCACCAGGGACAGAGCCCTCTGCCCCCCTAAACCCACTTGGGACACAGACCCTGCCCGCCAAGGCCGCCTGGGACAGAGCCCCCGGGACGGCAAGCACACCTGAGATAGAGATCCCTGCCCCCTTAAGCCCACCTGAGACAGAGCCCTCTGCCCCTGAAGACCACCTGGGACAGAGGCCCCTGCCCCGCCAAGCCATCTGGGACAGACCCCTGCCTTGACAAACCAAATTGTGACAGAGCCCCCTGCCCCCCGAAGCACACCTGGGATAGAGCCCCCTGCCCCCCGAAGCACACCTGGGACAGAGTCCCCTGCCCCGCCAAGCCCAACTGGGACAGAGACCCATGCCCCCCGAAGCACACCTGGGACAGAGCCCCCCTGCCAACCGAAAACCACCTGGGACAGAGACCCATGCCCCCTTAAGCCCAACTGGGACAGAGCCTCCTGACCCACTAAGCCCACCTGGGACAGAGGCACCTGCACCTCGAAGCCCACATGGAACAAAGCCCCTTGCCCCCATAAGCACACCTGGGAAAGATCCCCATGCATCACTAGCCCACTTGACAGAACCCCTGCCCCCCGAAGCCCATCTGGGACAGAGTCCCCTCCCCACTATGCCCACCTGGGACAGAGCCCTATGCCCCAAGAATCGCACATGGGACAGAGTTCCATGCCCCCCTAAGCCCACGTGGGACAGAGCCTCCAGTCTTACTAAGTCCACATGGGACAGACCCTGCCTTGCTAAGATGACCTGGGACAGAGCCTCCTGCCCCCTGAAGCTCACTTGGGACAGAGCCCCATGCCCTGCCAAGTCCATTTGGGACAGAATCTCCTGCCCCACTAAGACCACTGGGACAGAGCCCCCAGTACCCTGAAGCCACCTGGGACAGAGCCCCAAGCCCACAGAAGGCCACCTGGGACAGAGCCTCCTGGCCCACAAAGCCCACCTGGGACAGAGTCCCCTGCCCCACCAAGTCATCTGGGACAGAGCCTCCTGCCACCATAAGCCCAGCTGGGACACAGCTCCCTGCCCAGCCAAGCCAACCTGGGACGGACCCCTTGCCCCTCTAAGCACACCTGGGACAGTGCCCTCTACCCCGGAAACCCACCTGGGACAGAGCCACCTGCCCACATATACCCACCTGGGACAGAACCCCCTGCACCGTCAAGACCACCTGGGACAGAGTCCCCTGCTCCATGAAGCCCAGCTGTGACAGAGCCCCCTGCCCTGCTAAGTCCACCTGGGACAGAACCCCCTAACCCCACAAGCCCACCTGGGACAGAGCCTCCTGTCCCCTGAAGCCCACCTGGGACAGAGCAGCAAGCCCCCAAAAACCCACCTGGGAAAGAGCATGCTGCCCCCTGAAGCCCACCAGAGACACAGACCCTGCCCCACTAAGCCCATTTGCGACAGAGACTCCTGTGGCCTGAAGCCCACCTGGGACTGAGCCCCCTGCCCTGACACAACAACCTGAGACAGATGACTGCCCCCCATAGCCCACCTGGGACACAGCCCCCTGCCCCATCAAGACCACCTGGGACAGAGCCCCCAGCCCTGCCAAGACCACTTGGGACAGAGTCTGCTTCCCCACTAAGCCCATTGGGACAGAGCCCCAGCACCCTGAAGCCCACCTGGCACAGAGACCCAAGCCAACAGAAGGCCACCTGTGACAGAGCCTCCTGGCCCATAAAGCCCACTTGGGACAGAGTCCCCTGCCCCACTAAGTCACCTGGGACTGAGCCTCCTGCCACCATAAGCCCACCTGGGACAGCATCCCCTGCCCAGCGAAGCCCACCTAGGCCAGATCCCCCAACCCCCGGAAGCCCACCTGGGACAGAGCCCCCTACGCCACGAAACCAACGTGGGACAAAGCCCCCTGCCCGCCTATACCCACCTGGGACAGAGCCTCCTGGCCCACTAAGCCCTCCTGGGACAGAGCCCCAATCCCACAGAAGGCCACCTGTGACAGAGCCTCCTGGCCCATAAAGCCTCCTTGGGACAGAGACCCTGCCCCACTGAATCACCTGGGACAAAGCCTCCTGCCAACATAAGCCCACCTGGGACAGAGCCCCTACCCAGCAAAGCCCACCTGGGCCAGATCCCTTGCCCCTCTAAGCCCACCTGGGACAGAGCCCCCTGCCCCCCAAGACCAACCTGGGACAGTGCCCCATGCCTGCCTATAGCCACCTGGTACAGAGCCTCCTGGCCCACTAAGCCCTCCTGGGACAGAGCCCCTGCCCTGTGAAGACCACCTAGGACACAGGCCACTGCCTGGCAAGTCACCTGGGACAGAGCCCCCTGTCCCGTGAAGCCTACCAGGGAAAGAGCCCCCTGCCCCCACAAGTCCACATAGTACAGAGCCCCCTGCTAAACTAAGCCCACCTGGGACAGAGCCTTCTGTCCCCTACAGCCCACCTGGGACAGAGCTCACTGCCCCGCTAAGCCCATTGGGACAGAGCCCCCTGCACCCCGAAGCAAACCTGGGACAGAGCCCCAAGCCCACAGAAGGCCACCTATGATAGAGCCTCCTGGCCCATAAAGCCCACCTAGGACTGAGCCCCCTGCCCCGCCAAGTCACCTGGGACAGAGCCCCCTGCCACCATAAGTCCACCTGGGACAGATTGCCTTGCCACCAGAAGCCCACCTGGGACATAGCTCTCTGCCCCGTTAAGCCCACCTGGGACAGACCCCTTGCCCCTCTATGCCCACCTGGGACAGAGCCCCCAGCCCCCGAAGCTTACTGGGACAGAGAAGCCTGCCCCAAAAAACCCACCTGGGAAAGAGCATCCTGCACCCAGAAGCCCACCAGGAACACAGCCCCCTGCCCCACTAAGCCCATTTGGGACAGAGCCTCCTGCACAACTAAGAACACCTGGGCAGAGCCCCCTGTACCCAAAGCCCACCAGGAACAGAGCCCCCTGCCCCACTAAGCCCATTTGGGACAGAGCCTCCTGCCCAACTAAGCACACCTGGGCAGAGTCCCCTGATCCCCGAAGTCCACCTGGGACTGAGCCCCCTGCCCTGCTAAGTCACGTGGGAAAGAACCCCTGACCCTCTATGCCCACCAGTGACAGAGACCCCTGCCACCTGAAGCACATTTGGGAATGAGCCCTCTGCCCCGTGAAGCCCAGCTGTGACAGAGCCCCCTGCCCTGCTAAGTCCACCTGGGACAGAGCCCCCTGACCCCACAAGCCCACCTGGGACAGAGCCCCCTGCCCCCTGAAGCCGACCTGGGACAGAACAGCAAGCTCCCAAAAACCCACCTGGGAAAGAGCATGCTGCCCCCTGAAGCCCACCAGGGACACAGCTCCCTGCCCAGCTAAGCCCATTTGGGACAGAGACACCTGTGGCCTGAAGCCCACCTGGGAATGAGCCCACTGCCCTGCCAAGCCCACTTGGGACAGAGTCTACTGCTCCACGAAGCCCACATGGGACAGAGCCCCCTGCCCCCCGAAGCCCATCTAGGAGAGAACCATTACCTCCAGAAGCCCACCTGGGACAGAGCCCCCTGCCCTGCCAAGCCCACTTGGGACAGAGTTTCCTGTACCACTAAGCCCACATGGGACAGAGCCTTCTGCTCCCCTATGTCCACCTGGAGAAAGCCACCGGCTCCGCCAAGGCCTTCTAGGCCAGAGTCCCTGCCCCGCCAAATACCCCTGGGACAGAGACCCCTGACCCGTGAAGCCCATCTAAGACAGAGCCACTGCTCTGCCAAGCACCCTTGGGACAGAGCCCCTACCCTCCGAAGCCCACCTGGGACAGAGGCCCTACCCAACAAAGTCCACCTGGGCCAGACCACATGCCCCTCTAAGCCCACCTGGGACAGGGCACCCTGCCCCAAAACCAACCTGGGACAGAGCACCCTGCCTGATATACTCACCTGGGACAGAGCCTCCTGCCCAACCAAGCACACCTGGGCAGAGCCCCCTGTCCCCGAAGCCCACCAGGAACACAGCCCCCTTCCATACTAAGCCCATTTGGGACAGATCCTTCTGCTCCCCTATATCCACCTGGAGAAATCCACCGGCCCCGCCAAGGCCACCTGGGCCAGAGTCTGCCCCACCAAGCACCCCCAGGACAGAGTCCCCTGACCTGTGAAGCCCATCTGGGACATAGCCCCTGCCCTGCCAAGCACACTTGGGACAGAGCCCCTGTCCTCCGAAGCCCACCTAGGACAGAGC